TGCTTGACATTCTTGCCCCAAGGCTAGTTGGAGTGAACCAAGAACAAAAGCTAAGATTCATCTCTGAGAAAAACAACTAACTTCATAGCTTTGGCCCTGAGCTAGGCTCCCTGTTTCTTAAAGGAGGGTGCCCCAACACTCTGAGCTGGTACCAAGATTACTCCTGTATCCTCCCGGCAGGAATGAATATACTTTTAAAATGCACTGTTTAGTTACCTCTTACCATCTACATGAGACTGATGTGGAAGGTAAGAGGTGAAGTGTCATCAGGATCCTTGGTTCCTCTTCTTAATGTGGCCACATTGAATAAAACTTTTTCTGCTTTCCACTTTTGGCTTATTGAAGATGAGTGGTCTAGTCCACCTTGTTGCGGCTGCCAGGGCCCAGGCTCTGAACCTCTGAATTCTCTGTACTTTTCTTGGGAACCTCCAGCTCATGGTGCTAGAAAGCTGTGTACCCCTTCAGAAATAGCACATTTGGCTTTTGATTTCCTGCTTCTTCTCATCTCCTCTAAAACCTCCCCACCCTCTCTTCTCTCTGTTCCCTTTATCTTAATCATCATTACTCTGGCCAGGTATAGTGGCAATACCTGTAATCTCAGCACTTGGGAAGAAGGAAGTGCTTGACACCAGCATGGGCTCCATAATGAACTAAGGCCACTCCAGGCTATCAGCAAGACCCTGTCTTAGAAAACAAAACAATAAGACTGTGCAGATAGCTCAGCCAGTTAAGTACTTGCTGTACAGTCATAAGGACCTGAGTTTATTCTGACAACCCGTGAAAGCCACACATGGTAGTGCACACTTTGCAATACCAGTGCTGGAGACACAGAGGCAAGCAGATCCCTGGGGCTTGCTGGCCAGTCAGCCTTAACCAAATAGGTCAGTGAGAGAGACACCCTGTTTCAAAAACAAACATGGTGTCCTGAGCAATAATATTCAAGGTTGACCTCTGGCCTCCACATGAACACACACAGCACATACAGTCACACACACACACACACACACACACACACACACACACACACAAGAAAAGAAAAGAAAATAGAACCAAAGAAAACAGTAAACCTTTGCTCTGGGTGTAGCTTTAGTAGAAATTCATCCTTTCTGAGTCTCATTTTTTTTCCAGCCTTCGTTGATACATCTACAATGCAACCCCTACACATAAGGCTTTAGGAAAATTGAAGAAGAGAAGGTAAAGAGAAGATTGTAAGATCCAGAGGACCAGAAAACCTGCTGCTGATAGCATCTTCTAAACATGATGAGGTGGCTGCATCATGAATCTCAGCAGTATGGTTGCATAGAGAAGACTTGCACAAGGACAGTGCCAGATAACATGCCAAAATGGGTGAAGGACATTTCACAAAACCCACACCTAACAACTGCTGAGAGAAGGTAAATCAGTTTTCTTCAAGAATGAGAGGTCCTTGATATTTCTAATCACAAGTGATCAGATCTAAATGCATGTATATACAAACAACATTAAAAGAACTCAGTGGCATAACATGAATAATAAAAGACCCAGAGACAGATATTGGGGTTCAAGCTTCAAGATGAAGATCAGAGAAGCAAAGCAGCTAGGACACTAGCTCTTACCCCTACCTCAGACCAAAGGCACAATCTACTGAACCTCAGATTGCTCTCCTCAACGTAGCTGGAGACTAATTCTCAGACTGACTACTGAATATTCCACTCCTATCCTATATACCTTTCTAGAGCTGGGATTCAAGTTGTGTGATCCCAAGTGTTGAGATCAACTTTGTATGAGCTGTTTCTCTTTTAGACTGGATCAATTTCATGTAACTCACTGTTACCTTGTGCTAACAGAGATCTGTCTACTTCTATCTCCTGAATCCTCAGATTAAAGGTGTATACCACCACCACCTAGCTTCTATAGCCAGTGTGGCTGGCTTTGCATTCTGATACTTCAGGCAATCTTTATGAAATTATAAGTAATATATCACACACAATGGGATAGATAGAATACAGATAAAATAGTTTTATAGATGTATAAAACAATAATAATTAAAGAAGAGGTTATGAATTTGAAAAGATGGGAACATAGGAGGATTGTAGAGGGAAAGGAAGAGGAAATGATCTAAATTTAGTATTCATGTATGAAATTCTCAAGAAAAAAATTTAATTAAAAATTTATAAATTTATAATATCACTTCCTATTTGTAAATTCTACAGTAATGCTATATCTTAGCATATTTACTCATAACAATGTATGTTCATAACCATCCTGGAATTGGGGAGAGATCATTATAAAGTGTCCTAAATAGTTTGGCAACAGTCACACTTTGGAAGATGAGAGCTCTTTAATGTGCTCCAACTCTTTTTTTTTCTCAGATTTTTTTATTTAAATTAGGAGCAAGCTTGTTTTACATGTCAATTCCAGTTCCCCCTCCCTCCCCTCCTCCCCTGCCCCTCACCAACCCCCTATCCCATCCCCTTTCTGCTCCCCAGGGAGGGTGAGGTCTTCCATGAGGGATCTTCAAAGTCTGAAATATCATTTGGGTGTTCCAACTCTTTTGGTTAAGAAATTACATCTTCTGGTGAAACCAGCATAGGACTGATCCATACCCCCTGATCATGGGAGTCAGTGAGGAGGCCTCAGCAATCTATGGGGCCTCTGGTAGTAGACCAATATTTATCCCTAGCATACAAATGGACTTTGGGAGCCCATTCCACATAGAGGGCCATGTCTCAGCCTAGACACATGGGGGGGAGCCTAGGCACTGCTCCAAATGATATGACAGACTTTAAAGATCCCCAATGGAAGGCCTCACCCTCCCTGGGGAGCAGAAGGGGGATGGGATAGGGGATTAGTTGGGGGCAAGGGAGGAGGGGAGGGTGAGGGAACTGGGACTAACATGTAAAACAAGCTTGTTTCTAACTAAAATTTATAAAATAGAAAAAAAGAAATTATATCTTATATTTAACTCTGTAGCTGAAATTCAATGACAATTTTTTATTTTCCCACTATTATAATTTTCCACTATTATTCTAATAAGATCATGCATTATGAAGTTTTTAATTATAGCTTTTTTTGAGACAGTGTGACACTTTGTAGCCCCAGCTATCCTAGAGCTCAGCTCACTGTGTAGACCAGATGGCCTCAAATTCACAGAGAATGTCTGCCTCTGCCTCCTGAGTGCTGCAATTAAAGGAACGGCATCACCATGCTTGACTTTAAATAACAATTTTTAAATACTGCCATTTTCTAGACAACCAAAACAATGGATTTGCCCTTACTTATCTTCGTTGGTGTTTTTTCTATCCTTGTGTATGAACTCCATAGACAGGAATGTGTCTGTGTTAATAGGGTCTAGCCTGTGAGCTACATTTGACATGTAGCAACACTGGCCTAGGAGGAAAGCATAGAGGCTGATGCCAGGTAGTAGTCTAAGGGCTCTAGATGGAACCAATTCATCCCTTCTTCACAAAGGCTTATTCATAACCCTGCTTTCCGGGTCAGGACACTAATGATTTGTAACAGTCACAAAGGTTGGAGGTAGCACCTTTGTCTCTTTAATGATTTCAACAACTGACCAGCTTCCTCAAATAAGATTCATATTCTCCACAGATACAGCCTCTCAAAATGAAATAATAATAAGGAAAAAAACTAGAACTAAATCCTTCTTATTGACTATCAAGACTTTACAATCACCATGTTAGCGGTTAATCAATGGATTTCATAATCCATTTAATCAATGGATTTCATAAAAATGGAGTACATTTTTAATTCTTCTACAGAGTTAACCCAAGCGTTTAATCCCACTACTCAGGAGGCAGAGGCTGGGCACCTCTGAATTCAAGGCCAGCCCTGGGCAACCAGGGCTACACAGAGAAACCCTGTCCTGAAAAACCAAAGAGAAAAAATGCCAAAAAGCATCTGTAATCTGTGCTTAAGAACCACTCAAATGTGCAAGTGAGTCTCACTCTGAGTAAAGAACTGAAATAAAAATTAGCCATTATCCCATCATTCAAAAACCACTGTTAGGGCCGGAGGGATAGCTCAGCCATTAAAGGCTAGGTTCACAACCAAAAAACACTGTTAAACACATTGCTATATTTCCCTGTTTTCTTCTCTACAACAATTTAAAAAAAAAAAAACATAATAAATGGGCTCTGTTTGAAAATAGTTTTCACTTGGAATCACTTATTTAAGAAATTTGTTCCTTCATTCCTGGCAGGGAGATGAGGAAGAATTCTATTGTCTTTCCATTTTCCTGCAGTGTACTCATGTCCTTCACAGGGAGTCAAGTCATTGACAGAAGAATCAAATGAAGCATTATCCACTCTCCTATTTTTTTATTTATTTACTTATTTATTGGTTTCTTCAGACAGGGTTTCTCTGTGTAGCTTTGGAGCCTATCCTGGCACTCATTCTGTAGACCAGGCTGACCTCGAACTCACAGAGATCTGCCTGTCTCTGCCTCCCAAGTGCTGGGATTAAAGGAGTGAGCCACCAATACCGGCCTATTTATTTTCTTAACTGGAAGACATATCTTTAATTAAAACTATAGACTAACAAAGCCCTAATTCATCAGCATCTGTCCTCTTATTTCCAATGTCTTAGCTATCTTGGCTATTCTTCCCCAAGTGTTTGTTATGAAAGGGCAGTTCTCAGACTTCTCTAAAGCCCTGCTCTGCATCTCTGTTAGTAGTCTGGGGTTGAATATTTGTTTAATTATCAATAGAAGCTTCCATCCACTGAGATTTTCAGAGAGTAGAATAACCAAGTCAATGTTTAACTGCATTCTTTAGTTCTGGAATGGCAAAGTAGAAGTTGAAGGGAAGTCTCCATGGAAACCAGCCTCCCAGGAAGTGGCCAGAGAAGTTAGTGTCGGGGGAACAGAACTGGAAAGATGTCATGAAAGAAACACCTGTTTGGGTAAGCTGAGGTAAATTCCTGAAAATACTGAACTAAATCAAGCCCCATAAAGGCCCCCAAACCCCCTCATCACCATTTTCTTCCTCATATCTTCAAGGAAAATGGGCCTGGGCCGCTCCAAGCCTCACCCCCGAGTGATCAAAGTCACACCTTTACAAGAAGCAGAGATTCCCTCGGCTGGCCCTGTGTTCTATACAATAAATCGGGATCTGGAAGAAAAGAGCTCATACCCATTCTCAAGACTGCAGGACCAAAATCAAGTTCTGAAAGGACTGCTACCACCTCTTCGAGAAACCTGGTATGGAAGACATCCCGCAGGTACAGACTGTGACCTCTGAAAGTCTAGATTAATGAGATGCAGGAGAATGTTTTTCAGTGAGGACTGAATGTTTGTCAGCTGAATGTCTTCCAGTACATTTGAATGCTTGTGTCAATTATGGATAAACGAAGGGAAACAGTCTGGTCTCAGGTTAGTCTATAGTGATTTCAATGTTATGTTTACCTCCATTAGACCACTGAAATAACACAGATGTGATAGGTGGTGGCAACAGTGCCCCAGTTGAGTTCTAAATGTAAGTCATTGTCTCCAGAGAGATTGGACGCATCAGGCTTTGTGGTTTTAAGAGAGAGCAGCACTTGAGAAGTAAACCTCTCCAATGTGAATTTTGAAACCAACCCAAATAAGAATCAGTTAACTGCATGAGTGAGAGTAGATAAGTCGTCTTCCCCAACCTCATGTTCATCATGGAATTAAAGGAATGTTTCCCACTAGGGTGGGCAGGCTATGAGCCTGAAGTGGCTGCAAGTTGTTTTTAGGTATTTTTTATGACATGTAAAATGTCTTTGATGACCATGGTGATAAACAAATGTGCTAACTTAAGATTAAAACCTTTTCTCTCCTTCACATTCTACATGAGTTACAAAACTGGGCTCTCCTTCTCAGACAACTCTGTCTGAACACCTTGTATGTCTTTAGCTGCAAGATCTTCCCAGGGAGGTTTTCATGGTTACTTTCTATCCAGTTAAAATATTGAGTACTGTCGACTAATAAGACTTTTTTAATGTTTTTCATTAGGAATGAGAATTTCCTCCTTCATGGCACTGGTTCCTTTTTTTTGGTTGTTTTGGTTTTCAGTTTGTTGTCAGTTTCTCACTATATAACCCTGGGTTGGCCTCAAACTCTCCATGTAGCCCAGACTGGCTTTGAACTCACAGAGTCCTGCCTCCCTTTGCCTCACAAGTTGCTAGGATTAAAGGCATGCAGTTTTATCCTCTTCTGAGTTCTAAGGTTTTGGCAACTGGGTGACAAAAGCTGGTTCAGGTACTTTGGAGTCCCAACTGAAAGATTATATTTGAAAGACAAACGTCACATTTGTTATAAATAACAAGGGATGGAGAACATTCTCTATAAACACTGACTGTACCAAAAGCATTCTGAGTGCTGGCTTTAAGGGCCTGTGTTCTAACCATAGCCCCACTAAATACATCACACAGCCTTAGGCAAGTTACTTACCAGTTTTGTTTACCTGTGGTCAGGAGTAGAAGCGCATGTCTGGGACAGCCTTTGCCATACGGGGCAGTCCAAGTAAAAAACAGGATGATATCACTCACATCATATTAACGTGAGGAGTACTGAAGTGTCTAGGAGGAAATGTTTTAAACAATTTAGATTTTAAAACCCCGAGTGGTTCTGTCCCACTCAATGTATGCCATAATCGGAAAGAAAAAGAAAGTCATAGATCTCTTCAAAGCTGGGGACAGCCAAGCTTCACAGAGGCTATTTGGAAGTTTTCAGGATGGGGACCCACAATTACTTGTTTGTTTTTTGCTTTGTTTCATTTCAAGTGCAAAGTGTGAGTGTAGGCTCCTCTCAACAACAGCCTACATGGAAAAATGTGTTCTGATTGTTCAAAGAGAAGGCCAAGGACTCCATGCAGTTTAGCCATAGCAGCACTCTTGAGTGGCCCAGTTAATCAAGCCAAACATAGCATGTATAATGAGTCACCATCTAACTCTTGGCAGAGCAACTCTGTAGCTCTGACTTGTTGTATCAGGAAGGAACAGTAGCATGTTGTATCCTAGTGACAACTTGAGGACTGGCCCCTGTTAGCTTCTATTTATTCTGAAAAGATAATGTATTTTCATTTCTTAAAGTATTTTCCGGATTTCCTTTATTTGGGGGGATTTCATAGTATTAAACCCATGGGCTGGAAACAGAGCTCAAAGGTGGAGAGTTAGGCTAGTATATGTGAGACCCTGGGTTTGCTCTCCAGCAGAGGGGCTGTTTTGGGGAACTCACAAGACTAATAGGTAAGTTTTTATTTTCCAGGCTAAATTCTGTGTTTGAGTAATACCTGTGGTCAGTACATAGTTAATTTTGCAACTTCCTTCTTTTTAAATCCACTTTCAGGGCAGCTGTGGGGGGGGGGGGGGTGAGGAAAGAAGAAAGCAGACTAAAATGTTCACTTGCATTCATGTAAGAACCCTGCCTTGTGGTCTGTTGTGGCATATTTGTACACTGTGTGGAAAATGTATTGCTGTGATTGGTGTAATGAAAAGCTGAACGGCCAATAGGTAGGCAGAAGATATAGGCAGGACTTCCAGGTAGAAAGAGAACTCTGGAAAGAAGATGGAGTTGCCAGCCAGACATGGAGAAGAGACAGGAAATACAAGATGGAAGAGAGGTAATGCCATGTGGTCGAACATAGCTTTTAAAAAATATGGGTTAGTTTAAGTTATAAGAGCTAGCTGAGTGCCGGGCGTTGGTGGCACATGCCTTTAATCCCAGCACTCGGGAGGCAGAGACAGGCGGATCTCTGTGAATTTGAGACCAGCCTG